ACGAGACCGGCTCCTCTCCGCCCACTCCCGCGGCGAGGGCCACGACGGCACCAACTCCGCCGCCGCGCGCGGTCCGCGTGGGCCGCCTCCTCCCGGAGCGCCGCAGACAAAGCCCGAGCGGCCGCGGCACATGGAGGGGAGGAAGTGGCGGCGCGGCCGCGGCCTACTCCGGGCAGCCCCAACCAACGTGCTCCTCTCCCTCCTGGAATCCATTTTCCAGAAAAGCCGGTCTCTCCCCACGCCGCCCTCCCCCAGCCCACTCCACAATGTCATGGAGCTCCCCTCCCGGAGCCCGGTCGTTACCTCCCCGTGGGGCTGCGGCGGAGGAATCCTGTCCGAGGGAATCGGGTTGCGGGAAACGCGTGCTCGCTGTTCCCTGTGTCCGGCGCGAGTGGAGCTGTTGTAAAATGGCGGCCGAAGCTCACGCCGCTGGCAGCAAACCCGATCCAGTTCCACTCGCCTCCGAGCGCGCTCCCGGTGCGCGCGCGCGCCCCCGCGTGACCCCCCTTCCCTCCCCTCCCTCGCGCGTCCGCTTCTCTCACTCACTCCCTCAGCCCCTGCCCTCCTCCAGCTCCTCCTTCTCCCCTACCACCTCTACCAGCCTCCGTCCGCCTCCTTCCCTCTGCCTTTCTTCTCCCTCTCCCTGCTCCGCCCCCCCCCGCCGCTGCTAGCGCTTTCCGCGGCCGCTCCGACTCAGGAGGCCGCCTTTCCCCTCCGCGCTTGCACTCTCTCGCCCGCTCCCTCCCCGCTCGCTCCCTCGGCCCTGTCCCTCAGTCCCTGCCGAGTCGGCTCCTCTCTTTCTCTCTCCCGCGCTGACGTGACGACGTAGCCGACGCCGCGGGACGCGCGCCCGCGTGCCCCGCCCCCACGTCGCGTCGCCCCCTCGCGCCCCAGCCGGGTGGGGGGCCGAGACCCCGCCCTTCCGCTCCGGCGGCGGCGGAGGGGCCGAGTGAATGAGAGGCCCGCCCCTTACCAGGCCGACACTCCCCTCCCGCTCCCTCCGGGCGGGGCGGGCCGCTCTGCGTGTCCCACTCGTCCTCCTTTGTCAGGAGACGGGCATCTTCCCACCCCGCCCGCCCCACCCCCACAGCAGCCCCCGCGCGCCGCCCCCGCCGACTCCCACCGCCCTGTCCCCGCCCGGGCCGGGGGCGC